ACAGACTATAAATCGTTGTTTATGGACAACGCTCATATTATTATGTTGCTAAAAGCAATTTTTAACTGCGTGTATACGTTCGTATCCAGATAATATAATTAGTAGTAGTAGATTGTTAAATGCAATAAATGATACCATAGATACCATATTATATTACGTAATCTAGTTAAGCTAACCAGTCAACAAATTTTTAGTGCAGATAGATTATCTCAGTCAATACTTGATAGCGCATTAAAAGTGTTAGATGAATAAAAAGTCCATAATATTTCACAGATCTGATTTCTGATTTGTTTGATTTTTATTATAAAAAATGATACAACTTATTTTTTTTTTGTTAAACTGTACTAAATTTAATTTTTGAAAATTTGATTGTGAACTATGGAACATATTTTATTGTGTTATTTAAACATCAATAATTATTCAATTATATTGTATTCTTCCTGCACTACTGTATCGTGTGAAATGAAGTAGGGAATAAGCCAAATTACTATAACACCAATATGGTACTATTCTTTTAAATTTAAATGTAAATTATGAAAAAATAGGTAGGATTTTAATAGAAAATAAGTATTTAGATTTTAAAACAATGTTTCAACGAATTATTGGATGTGGAGTCTATATAATACAATTATTCAACATTTTTCAAAATAATATTTTTGTAGAAACCTATTAAATGTATCAAAATTTAATCAATAATTAATTTAACTACCTAGTCATAACTCATAAATAATAAATGTTCCATTTTTAAAAATAAAACAACCTTTATTATTATAAAATATTTTTACAAAACAATAATATTGTAAAATAATAAATAGTTACATAACTGCAGAAACGCAGTAAGTTATTTTTTAAAAGTTATTATATTATTATAATTAAATACAATATTATTAGACGTATGGACTTAATACAATAGACTGATTACTGAATAGACAGCAAAGGTTCTCTGGATTACTTTTTATTTTATTTTTTGTTTAAGATTGTACTGCCGAGACTCGATGGTGATACGTAGTTCAATTTATTCAGCTAAATTGCATTTTAGACGCCTTGAAAGGTCGCCTAGAACAGCTCTGCAGTGTATTTATGCTTATATTGAATAAGTGAGCTGTTACTAATAAACTGTATAAATACATACTTCAAAAATTATTTTTTAAGGCTAGTTTTAGACTTCTAGTAAGGAAATTCATATTTATGTTAGTATTACAATATTGTTTAGACCATATTAATGCAATATTATGTAAAACTGTAATTGATTCATGAATGCGTTGTTCATATTTATACATATTAAACACTTATTTGTGTATGATTATTTAGTGTATGTATTCCATTGTTTTGATTATATTAGCTATAATACATATTAACTATAGATATTTAATTACTATTATGAGTCTGAATGAAATAATTGAGTAGGTAATTTTGATGGATGTATTAAATGTAAATTTGATGATAAAATACATAAGGAGAAAAGACTTATTATAGAAAAATTATTATTCTATAGTTTAACGACGTGTTACACTCTTACTAATAATCCAAAATGAAATTTCAATTGATATTACTATAATGTCAGACGAGTGTGACTAAAGACCTACTTAATATTTAACTTAATACGGTAGTTTATAAATTGCACCAAAATAACGATGTGTAATTTGAACCACTGCAGGTAGTCGAACATAGTGTTTGTAATTTGCACTAAAATAAGTATCTTTATTCTTTGTATTCAATTACTAGAATGATAGTAATAATTTTTTGGGATTTCTAACTACCTTGTTTGGTAATCATTTATTCTTTCGAATCAATTTATGCAATATACATTTTTTCTATACATACAATTGTTATTAATATTTTTATATTATTTTTTTAATTAACAAATTTAGTTTTTCAATGATAAGACTCAATTTGTAACACAGAAATACATACTTATAAATCTATTACAGATATATTGCTATAACAATCTTTATAAGCTCAATTTGTGTTGGGAGACATCGTATGTATGTATATTTTTGCTATCATGATTTATGATAAAATTATACATCATTTCATAAGTAAAAACCAAGCTAAAATAATTATGCTAGGATTATATAGACACTCTTTATTAAAATCTGAATTGCATACAAATATTTTAAATTATTAAGTGTTTTAAAATTATATTTTTGCCTAAAATAATGTATTTATTACAATATTATATGATGTTTTTCATACTTATATTATTGCTATAAAGTGCCTAGTTTTGAAGTCAATACTGACGTACCGTAGAACGGTATAAAAAGGTAAGTTACAAAACTGCTCAGAATCTAAAACAGAATATTCTGTTCTCAGATTCTTATATCTCAATATATTATACTGTACTATCGACATTTTTACGTATCTAGATGGCTAGATAGGTATTATAGGTACTACCGAAAGAAAAATCGATTTGAATGTTGGTGCAAACTACAATTCCTATTCCTAACTACCAGGGATGGTCCAAATTTTTATTTTGGTGCAAATTTCACATGTTGCATTTTTTTGGGGTCAATTGTAGTGAAAGTTATGCCACGAAGGTCCTATAAAACGTCTATATTTACTTATAAGTTAATAACATTAATATAAGATAAATTAAAATATATTTTTGTATTATGGGCTGTAGTCAACGTGCACCAAAATTATTATGTTTATTATAATTTATATTATATTATACATTATCATATATTACTGATATTAATTCATAAGTAATTACCGACACATCGTAGAACGGTGTGATAGGTTCATAGTGTAAATAGCTTAAAATTACCTAATCCAAATATTTCAAAAATTGAATTAAGTGTAGAAAATAATAATGTACAAATTGGCAATAAGTGTCAAGTGCCTACGATTACTATTTATGAAATACATACTTAATAACTAAAATTGATTTGGTTAAAAATGGGTTTTGAGTATTTTTGAGTATTTTTTGTTGGGAATCCCGGATTTAAAAAAAAAATACTGTGGGGTTTTTACTTTTAATCTTTTACAGTAATGTAATACATTTGAATGAACATTTTACAGTTTATATTTGCATCAAAAAATAATTTATTACTATAATAGGTGTAGTACCTACCTATGTTACTTTTAATTTAATGTTAAAGCTTAAATATTTCATACTAATTATATATTTTTTTTAAAATGACTCATTTTCACGTTTTTCTCTTAAGTTATGTAGGTAGTGTAATAAATAAGCTTTTTATATTTTCTTCTCAGATCCATATACTAGAGAAACTTTAAAAATTATTACTTTAATATACCGTGGATAAATGTGGCCAATTTTCAATTTATTCAGATAACAATACAATAAATACATTATAATTCTTTATATTTTAAACATTATTGATCTTCTCGAAATTCTAAATTGAGAATAAGTTGTACATTTTATCACAAAATTAATTGTAGTGTTATTTATTTATATAGTAGGTACCTAACATTGTGTGCATATAACTACGTAATAATGTAATATAAAAACATAATATAATGCATGAGTTTATGGTAGGTAGTTCAGTCGGTATTAAAACGTTGAATGTGAGTATATTAGTATTTTTATCCTCTATAAATTATAAATTTTAAAAAAAACGATTAAAAAAGTTTTAATTTAAAAACATTCAGTTTTTACATAAAAACTCTAGTACTGATTTTTAAATGAACTATAATGTACCTCCACATTTGTATATTTCTGACCTACAGTTCATGTACTTTGACAAGATAAGTTTTTTCATATTGCTAGGATTTTTAAGTACTGCGGTAGACAAGTGAAGTGTATGTTAGTATGTGTCACTCGAGTGGCCATTGCGAGGTCATATTTCGATCAATTATTCAACGTATTTTCTACAGAATGTCCCCGGTTTTCTGAAACCAGAAATATAGCTTCATATAATGATTTATTATGATTCCACATTGATGCGACTGATTATAAATTAATATTATTACTTTATTATATTCAGTTATATGTCTAATAAAAGGGTTCTATAATAATTGTGCACAATGAGCATATAGTTTACAAAAGTTTGTGTATTTATGAAGCCATTTGTCAGAACGTAAGTCTCAATAAATAAAATCAATAATAAATAAATAATCATATAATATGTGGATCATCACGTATGTCATTATATTATATTTGTAGCGTATACATTATACATGTTGTTTTATATTTGCGATACCGTCGAGATGATTTTTCATGATATGTGTATTATAATAATAATTATTAGGTATATGTGCACTGTGAAGTATATTGTTTACCACTTACTCGAGGACTGGTTAATATTTATATATATTTGAAATAATTTCTTTTTTTCGGGCTCTCCTATTTCGGGCACTTATTCATCCGTTTTAACGATTAATTTATTTTGAATCCACGCGGTGGACTCACCACATCAGCCCTCCACGGTCGCCCGCCCACACATCATCTATCGTCAGCACGCGCAAAGATGAGAAAATCAATTTTCCACTCTACCAGCATATATACTATGTGACGATGTACTTTTACCTTCACATTATTTTATTTTATTCACTATTCTGCATAACGGTGTACCAGTCAGTAGTAAATTATGATCTCCGCCGCCGACAGGTCTGCAGGACTCGCGGCGTGAGATTTTCTACTTATCATCGGCGTCCAGCAGCAAAAATAAAATTGAATACACTCGTATCTCGGCATCTCGCGGTCTCACGGCCATCCACGTGCGAAATAAATTTTCTACCAAAAATACACTATTCGTCTACCCATGCATATTGCATAATATTGTACTTTATAAACTGTATTACACTCATAGATTATACGAGCTTTTCCGTTGCGTTAATAAACCGCAAAATAACTGAGTCATATCATTTTGAAATGTTTTTAGAGCATACTATTTATCATCAATTTTTAAATTTTTAACAAATAAATAAACGCTCAAAAAATTTAGAAAATGCTAACGGTGCAGTGGATTTTAAAAGACGAAACTTTACACAACCAAACGCAAAAATAATTTTGTCTTATTATGCTTTTATGGGCTTACCTGCCAATTATTACGACTTGGGCCACTACAATATAACTGCAATGGTGACGACGGGGGGGTCAAAAAAATAATGCTATAATTGTTATGACGTGAACGCCGCCGCCGCCGCCGCCGTCGGAGTCGTCGAAGTTGAAGTCGAAGTCACAACCCGGTATGTCGTCGGAGTCGTCGTCGCCGTCGTCGTCAGAGTCGAGGGAGGTACACGCGCGCCGGCCGAACGCGAGCTAAAGCCTCGCACTGAAACGGCACAGCGCTGCGGCGGCATGGAACGGAAAAAAACACACTACACAGCAATCCCAAAGGGTAATAAGCGTCGGCGCGGTTGTATCTTTCTCTCTCACTCGTTCGCTCTCCTCCCATCGAGCGCCGTCATCGGCGGCGGCGCTAATGTTTGGGTTACCCGGCTATATACGTGGTAGGTACCTATATAATGACGACGACGACGACGACGACGACACACGGACCGTAAAAGCGCGTTCGGCGAGGCTGCTGCAGTGGGCGCCTGCACCGCATTATTGCTATTGCCGTTTTGCGTCAGTGTAACGGTAGCTCCATACTCGGGGGTGGTATTCCGTTGCTTTTTAAATACGATTTCTTAAAGAACTCATTACTATATTATGCACCCCGAATACTTGACAATACTTTATATCCCTTCGAATATAAAAAAATACATTTTATGTCAAACACTGATCAAGAAAATGCAATTGAGTCAACTGACATGCGGTGCTTAGTTTTTTGCTGTGTTCATTGGTATATATAAAAAATAATTTTGTTTTTAGAATATTAAATGAACTTATTTATAGACCTATCTTTAGATCAGTTAGATGTAATACAAATAAAATAAAATAAAATAAAAGTAATAACGTTGCTATACATTAATATACCTACCCACGATTGAACCACTATATTATCCTAACCTCCGCAATACAACATGCGAATTGTCGGGGGACGTTAGTTATGTCGTCTTCGATTGCAAAAATATTGCATACTTAATGACTTTCTATAAAATAAAAATAAAATTATAATATGTACAGTAGATACATAGGTACTTAACATATTAATTTTTTTCGTACTTTTTTTTGGAAAATATAAGAGTTGCTTATTTAGACACTCCAATTCAATTATTATTATTAATATTTCATGTTGCCTTTATTTTAACTTTACGATTGTTGGTTAATCCACCCAACCTATCAACTCTTGATCACCATAATTTTAAATTTAATATAGTTCCGAAAAATATACTTTTATATAAATATTGACGCTCTAAAAGTTTTTAATTAAATATTGATTTACATTTAAATAGCTTGGAAGAACCTGTGACCCGTGAATTTTGTTCGTTGAGCTATCTAAGGACTCAAATAATTTATAGACGATTTATGCCTGTGTGTATTGTGTGGGGCCACAACAACAATGATAATACAATTGTGTCTGCAGTTGAAAACTGCTCATCCATCGCATCATCTCGTCCGCCCAGAATTACATGTAACTATTTAACAAATAATAGAGCTACCACCTCGGGGGACAATGCTGTTCGTCATTTTATAATATTATATTCGTTTTGGATCTTAGCACTCGCCAGCTATTAATTGTTGTAGGACGTAGGTATGCGATACTATACGTGCTCAATCAACCTCTAAATGTTATTAAATAACTAATACCTAAACACTATACAATATACATGTTTAATGTGTTATAATTTATATTATTACTGTTTTTGTGGCGTTTGCGCGACTGCACCACCAAGAGTTGTAGTGGTAATGCAGTGATGGTCGTAGCCAAGGGGGGGAGGGAGGGTAAGATTCAGAATCACGGAATTTTGTTTACCTGATTTATGTTTTAAAATTTGTAATTAAAAAATATATTCATACTCTCCCCCCGCAATTTTTTTACTGGTTATGACTCTGGTAGTGGAGGATGAGTAATATGGATTACTATAGGTAATGGTAATACAGTGTGAATACTGAATAGTATGACATTTATAAATACTTTAAACTTTTTAAAAAAAAACCCCGAAGTTTTTTCCTGCGTTCGCCCCTGATGTATGTGCTTTAATGTAATGAGCTTATTAAAATTCTGATTTATAAATTATTTAATTGGCTAGTTGGTATTCTTACAAAGATAATACTTTTAAATACCTTCATAGAGTTTTTAAGAAGTGTCCTTTTTCATGTGGTCAAAGCTGAGGCGAGAACTACGATAGTATCACTTCCACTTCAGTTGCATCGTTTTTGGTACAACAATAAGTAATAACTACCCAGTCAATTATTCGTACAAAATCATCTCACAAATGATATCTATATTTTTTACAATACATGCCCTGTGGTGTGATGGCCGGAACCTACATCAAATATATAATATATAAACATGTGATACAAAAAATTTAAAAAATGGAGCCCCGTTCACCTCCCTGGGTGGCACTGCACCATCTGCGATCTGCCGCTCACTTTCCAGGTCTTCCTTCTCTGGAATCCTCACTTAATATTTCATAAAGTATAAAATTCGCCTAACAGCGATTCAGCATAATAGAATAATAATTTTTGGTTCGTCTGTAACTCTGTAGTTTTTCCTTACTAGGCTCACACAACAAGTCCGTGGAAGGTCCTTGGTTGTGAGCGGTCGCGCAGGGAGCTTCTCCATGCCTACTGTTTTAAGAAGTTCTGTTCTTGACGACTACGAATACGAATTGTTCCCGACTTCCCGTTACTTCCTGGGTTGTCTACAGATAACATACGAGTTAGTTTCAGAGTTCTCTACAGATAACATACTAGCCGATATCGATGAGTTCACCACAGGTTGTAAAAGGATATGAATACCTATGCTTTGTGATTCACCACGAGACTGGATTTATGATGGGGTTGAATGACTAGCAGGCGGTAGCCCAGTAACCATAGGCCCCACACAGTTATTAATTTATTATTAATAAATGAAAATGATACCCATTGGCCATTAGTAAAATTTAGTATAAAATAGGTTCATAATATTAATTTCCACTGCACAACTAACAACCATCCTAGTTTACAGACAAATTAAACTTATCATGTATCTAATTAAGTAGTTATTCAACTGTAAGTTCAGAAAATTGTTCATGTATTAAAAAAATATATATTCTAGAATTTTATTTTTTTCATTTAATATAAAAAAGTTATCAACATATTAATAAAGGTTTTTTATTATTGTATACTAATACAATACTATATATAACCAATGGCGAATGGCATATTCAGGTGCTCATTCATTCATTCGGAAATACGTATTTGGGAAAACGCACCATAATTAGTTCTTACGACTCGTGTGATATTAATATTGATTTAATAGTTGCATAGTTGCATGGCTTTTAAAGCAAAATACCAATCATCAACAAATCTAAAGTAATTAGATTCAAAGATTATTAGTATAATTGTATTTTACAAACATTGAAACATCATAATGAATATTACCAAGAACGGATTATAAATAGTTATATTTACTGTTTATAATATTTAAAAACACTCAATCGACATTTGGTTAGAAATAAAATATTTAATTTTTAATTTCCTTTCAAATATATAAATATAATCTAATGATTCATTTTTTTGAATTGTATTCAATTTACCTAATTCACTTAGTAATATAAAGTGTATTTAAATAAAGGGAACTCATTTTTTTTTTTAACGGAAATTATGTGAACAAATGTGTGAGTACCCTACTAATCGATTCTAATTGTTAACTATATATTTTCTAATATTATGAATGTGTTTTAAATTATTTATGTTACAAAAATAGAATTAAAAATGGTTTTTGCTTATTCCAACCTTTTCACATAGTTGTGTAATTGTCAGGGTTGGTAACCGAAATTTAAAAATAAACCGGAGGGGACCTTATGATAATATTAGCTCCAGAACGTCACCGGAACCCTTTTTTATTTTTCTTAGGATCTTCGGAAACAATACCGATATTTTTTGGTAGAGAAATGTTCTGTTTTTTTAGTTTCTTATATTATTTATCTATTTTTTTTCTTTTCTTTTTATTTTGGATTCAGGTCATAATTACTAAGGCCTGATACTGTGTGGGAGGGGAGAGGGTGGTTGGTTGGAACATGTATGTATGGCAAGGATGTGTTGCTAAAAACCCGATCCGAGTTATTGCAACGACGGCCGGTAAGTACGCTCATAGCTTTGCCGCGGTTGAGCTTACGACTGCGCCTCACCAGTCCACCTATTTCATTTATTTCGGTAATAAGAATAATCAGAAGAAAAATTAAAGAAAAATAGGAGTTTTTACTCAAAACTGGTTTTTATGTTTTGGTGTAATCAGTGACTGTACATATTTTAAAATTCACCAAATGCTTATAGGACCATTTTCCTTGCAAGATAAAATGTTCAAAATATTTTGACTCTTTCATAACTATTTATACCACTTATAACCACAGAAAATTTCCGATTTTCATTAGTATTTTAATATCATAATCTATAAAAACTTGAAAATTAATACAAAGTTAATAATGCATGAGTTGTTATATTAGTGTAATTTGAAAATAAAAATTGAGCTTACATCTAAAATGTTTTTTCATGAGCGTCTGAAATTAGAATCTTGACACTCAAAATCATGAAAATCTGCAAATGATTTTGAGTTAGAAATTCATTTTTCTTTCTACCTATACCTATCTAAGATTTTAGAACTAATACAACATTTTACTATATTTTACTTTTTACTATATAAAAACTCACATTAATTTTGTATGAGTGTTATGAGTTCAAATGTTTTTGACATTGGATACTCACCCTATTTAAAAAGGAATAGAATGATTTTCTTATTTTGTTATAATTCAATATCGAATAAATATAGATACTTGACATTTTTAGCAAATATTCATTATTATTTTTTATATAGTCCGACAATCTTCGTTCAGAATGGTTTTTCGATTTTATATTATTCAATTCAAATTTAAAACATCTATTACAGACCTACTCATCACTTACAACCGGGTACTCTGGTACCCACTTGCCTATATTTTTAAAATAATTTTCTATTTTTCATAATTTTGTCGACATTTGAAATTCATAAGCTTATTAGAAAAAATTGTGGCTATATATTTTTGATAATTCAGGTTATTCATGAGAAGCGTTGTTTTAGATATTCAAGCTTTTAGAACGAGGAAAAATGATGTTTTTATGATAGAAATCTTGCAGTAATCTGTACATACTATATAATAGAGCAAACAACTACATAATAGATATATAACATATAACCGAATTTTCTATTGGTAATAT